AGAACTCCAGGTCATCACCAGAGGAGCACCCGTCGTCAAACCGATCCCCGGTGGACGACGAGCTGACTCGAGTCCTTGGAATAGTAATTTGGGACTCCAACCTAGACGAAGGCATAACGACGCTCAGTACCTGTGATATCGAAGGGTGACGCAGTGCGGGATGTGGCTAGAGAGAGAAAGCAATTGCACAGCGTAAGGACCAAAAAAGAAGCAAATGGTAGATTCGCGTGGTTCCGAATACTTATAGGCAGCACCGCAGGACTGCACCAATCACAGCTAGACACGTGGCGCCTAGATACCGGTATATTCCGCGGTATTAAAGGCGCCTCGATCCCAACAATCGCCAACAACGACGAGGGATCTCAGGACCCACCCTGGATCGATGGAGACGTACGTCCCACAACGTGGGGACAGGGGCAGCCGCATACCACCATCCCTGCACGCCCGGAGGAAACGCATGAGCTCCGCAGACGAACGTCTCCGAGGAAATTTGGACCCCAGTACTTCCCGCGAGAAGTAAAAGCATCAGGAATAGGAAAGCCAGAACCAGTGGCGGACGGACGTCGCCACCAAATAGGGGCGCCAAACCGATCAAAATGAACATACTCGACAAGCCCGTAGGAGGTTCGGGCCGCGATACTTGCTAAAAATCCAACATGACATGAGGCAGAAAATATTCAAGCCAGTAATGGCGAGCATCGCCACGATACATGGGCATCGGAGCCTACGCCTGTATCCGTCTAACTTGGAGAATGCCAGGACAGGGTGACGGAAAAGTACGGATCAGGGAGGACGAACGTCCCCACCAGGAATGAACGCAAAGGAATAGGTTCGTACACGAACACTTTGCACTTTGCAAAACATGATGAGTGGCAGCAAACTTAGCCTCAGACGGACGTCATCTTCGTGCAAAAGTGTCAGACAGGTACGCTCGCCCCCATGGACTTAAGGGTACGGGGCAAAGTTAGGTCTACAAGGTGGAGGATGGCATTAAGGATCATCTTTTTGCAAAGACAAGAAAAAAGCTACGCAGGGCGTCGGATAAAGACCTCGCACACAATTATCAGAATAGAAGAAATGACAAAGTGAAAAAACACGAACATAGAGACAACCATGAAGCAAAAAGTGTGTATATTCCTCAGCACTACTGGCTGGAATTTACAATAATACCAAAACAAGTTGATGAAGTTTACATCAAATAAAGTTAGGGGAAACAGGTCGGGACCCCCAGGGTTAGCATCTTCTTCTTCCTCTTCGGGCTCAGGCTCGGGGGTCGGGGTTCCGGGACTTCACCCCTGGCTTTGGCTTCCTCTCGGCGAGCGTCCCTCTCCAACTTGCCCAGGGCCCAGATCAATTCAGCATCATTGGTATGCTGGGCCAAGTCAAAGCCGGGACCTTACAGCTTGGCGAAGATGGGCAGCGTGGCTTTCACTCCCTCATTGTAGCCAATGACAAAGGAGTCGTCCCCAACTTCGTACAAGAACTTCTCCGACAGGGGAGCACTCTCTAAGACCCAGACCCCGAATCGGAGGCGGTCCTTCGCTTCTGCTTCTGCAGCTCGGCCGAGAATACATCGTCAAATGCACCTCCACAATACCTCTGGGCGGCAATCATGAATGCCCCGGTATTTTCATACCCAGAGGTATCGACGAGCCACTCAGGGGCCTCATCCTTCTAAGCAAGAAGAACCGGGACGAGCTTGAACCCGGCCTTCTCGAAGGCAGGAACCTGCTCGGCTGACTCACGAGCAGCTTTCAGGGCGACCTGCAACTCCTTCTCCTTAGCGGCCACCTCCTTCTCTTGAAGATGGGCAGCCTCCCACGCCTTCTTCAGGGCTGCATCCGCCTTAATTTTAGCCTGAAGGGCGTCAGCATCCCTCGTAGCTTCAGCTTGCAGCACGGAGAGCCCGACCTACAGAAAAGGGACATGAATATAAGATTACGGGTCTCCAAAACCTTAACCAGCTATTCAGCGTAAGGTAGAGTTTACCTAAAGAGCGACGGCTAGAGCAGCATTGGTAGCTTCTGTGGACGTCCGGGCCGGCATCTCCACCCCGACCAAAGAGGCAATTTCCTGCCAGATGACGTGGGTCGGGCGTCCCAGGGGAAGAAGGGCCGCTTCTTGCTCTACGGAGGCCGAAGAGCCAGCCTCGCGAGGCCTCTTCGTCTTCTTGTCCTTAGCCTTCTCTCTGCCCGGAGGAAGGACTCTGCAGGGGCGCCACCACCTCGGGGACGCCGGAATCAACAAGAGGTGAGTGTCTTGGTTTTAACCCCTGTTCACCGATCGGCCTGAGAGGCGGAGGAGTTGGAATCAGCGGCCTGGGCGGCCTTGGCCTTAGCTAGAGCAGCGTCGGCGGCCGCGCCCTTGCCTTTCCTCGTCTTCAAGAGCTTGGCGTGATTCATTTGGGCTTGAGTGGGGGGCAAACCTGAAACAAGGAGAACACAAGGCGTTAGAAGCCGAACAGGGGTTAAAACCAAGACACTCACCTCAGAGGACAGGACCGCCCGATGCCCCGAGACGAGCGTAGGGGGGATTGAGAATCCAGAGACACGGGCGGTACCTATTCCTGCTGCGGCAAGCGCTGAGAAGGTGAGGAAGCCTTCTAAGGGTCGGATGCCGCCCGTCGAAACCTTCTTGATATCCTCCTCCAGGTCATCAGTCAACTCCGGTGACCCTATCTTAGGCGGATAGCCGTTCCAACGAAGGGGCAGACGAGCGTCCTCATACCGCACAAAGAAGAACCAATTCTTCCAATCATGGATTGAGCTCGGTGCCCCACTGAAGAGCCTCCGTCGGGGACGTGCGGCGATACTCAAAAACCCATCAGAATTTTGGGGGGTGAGTCGAAAAAAGTAATGGAACAATTCTAATGTGGCGGTAACCCCCCTGTCTTTGCAACGGACGAGGAACACAGAAATAAACCGGTAAGAGTTAGGCATGAATTGTGCGGGGGCCACTTGGAAACAACGGAAGAATTCCACGTAGAATGGATGAAGGGGGAACCGCAGCCCGGCCTCAATGGAATCCAAATGCACCATGATCATCCCCGGACGTCTTCTCATCATATGGGACGCGCCTCGGAGGCTGTAGACGAACGGAGGAGGGAAGTAAACTTTGAGCTTATTAAGGGCTACGGGCGAGAAGGCTTGCTCATGGCCAATCACATTCTTGATCGGGCAGACATGACGATCCACATCCACTGTAAGCCCCAAATCAAACACTTCCACATCAGACCCATCTCTGGCCTCGGCCCCCGAATCGTAATCCTCTGGGCATTCACCACCAGGGACTACGTTCTGCTCTCCGGCATTAGCCGGTTGGTCCGCCACCTCTAGGACCATGTTGTCCCCCTGACCTGCAGATGCGGCATCCTCTTCGACATTAACTACGGCAGCATCATTGGAAACCCCCTCTGCCTGTATGGTCTCCATGGTCGAGACCGAACCGGAACTGCCAGAAACGCTAGCTTTACCGGAAGAACGTGGGGAGGAACCAGAGCCAGAACCAGAGCCAGAACCAGAATCGGAAGAGGAACCCGAAGAACTGGAGTTGGAACTTGACGAGATCTCCATTGAAGCCGAAAAAACAAAGTAGGAAAAGAAGGGGAAGTCTAAGGGGTCAGATTACCTTACAATTAGCAGGAGCGGATCAGGGACCTTGGCGACGAGCTGATTGCGAGACGACGGAGGTCCTAGAGCGAGAAAGCGAGAATCGAGAACCCTAAACACATGGGGAATTCTGGTATTTATAAGGGAAGCACCGCTTCGTAGAACCAATAACGAGGTGACACGTGGCGGGGAGCATACCCCGGGGTACGCGCCGCGCGTGGAACGCAGGATGTAATGATGACCTTGCCTCGAGAAATGCACCGTTTCCGCGGCAGCCATCACCTCGATTAATGAATCGCCACCAACTAAAAGATTCCATGGCGACGAGCGTCCACCTCCAAGAATGCGGCAAGCATAAAACCCCGTGCCACGAACGTCTCACTCTTAAGAAGCACTATACTTCTTCATGTCCCACGCATGCTCAGAACATCAGAAGTGGGGGACTTGTGTTGGGTTAATGGCCCAACATAGGGGCCAGCCCATTTACCCACCGTCTAGACGAACGTCTTCCCTAGGCAGGGCAGCCCATTCGGACGAACGTCCATATAAAGATGTGGATCAAGTCCACAGACAAACGCAACGGCGACGAACGACGCCTCCGAAGCCATTATCACTTGGAGCCAATCCAACCCATGTGACAAATCCTCAAAGGGCCAGGATACGAACGGCTCATTACCCTTTGCAAATATCACCAGGAGCAACTCCCTTTATCCAGACTGGACGTACGTCTCCACAACTTAGGCGGGAAACCCAGATTCTGGCGGGAAGTGCATTTAATGCCGGAGATTTGGTGGTTGGGACATCAGCCACACACAGGCCTCCACGTCAGCATAGCCAACTACACATTGGTAGTATAAATAACGGCATTTATTTCATTGTAAGGGGTTGGCAACTTACTATTCTTAGCACTCTAGCTTATAGCATTCTTACTCGCAGCTCTTCTACTGCCTAGTAAGACGAACAGCCGACGAGCCTTAGCAAGCGCATTGTATTAGGGAGTTATTAACTGATTAATAATACATAATCTCTTACTTGCTACATACTGTTTCTTAATCCATCCCACTTGTTAGTTGGGCTAGTTTACTCACATTCACACTCCACTCGAAACTCTCGGGCTTATGTGTTGGACCCGAGGGTTGAAGGAATAAACCTCAACAGTATCACTATTGAAGATTTCGTTTTTATTTTGCTGGCAATAAAATATTTATTTAAGATTCTGTTGGTGAGATCCACCTTCAATTTGTACACTCAATTTCTATTCCACAAAATATTTTGCTTGTAGATAGTGCACAATAAAGAAGCCCTAAAAAGTATCATGCGTCATGAAAAACACAGGACCAATCATGATAGTATCAGAGTTTAAACTAAGAGCTTATACTAGCTAGGATCATGATAAGCAAACGCTAGATGACTAGATTCTCTCTCTGCTTTTAGAGACTCTAAAAACGTACACCAGTACAAAGTATTATAATATCACACACGTATATTGTACCAAAGTAAAAGAGTGAGCCGATATTAAAGCTTGGAATTACCTACCTTGATTCACCCGGAAAGACCATACCTCAGAGTCACAATTACTGAATTCTTTTTTTAAAAGTTACTGAGTTATTACTGCATTTATTACATTCATCAAGGCTGAGTTATTGTAGCTTTAGTTTCTGCAACAAATTTTCAGCTTCAATGAATCCCCCAAGTGGTCCCAAAGATGTGTACTTCACACATCTCCATCTGTTGAAATTTAAAAACAAACATGAGAATATAATGGAACTAAACCATTTCCTCCTACAAAACAGCCTTCAATCAATCTTAGGCCTGAGACTGGTTCATTTCTTATTCAAAATTAGTGAAACCGTAATAAAAATTCTAACTAATGAAAGTGGTTCGATATACAAAATCAAGAATCGTTATAGAACCGAACCAATACTAAACGGTTCGGTTCTTGCTTATATTGGTTCATAGAATGTTTTTTTCCATCCAAGAATTAACCCATACTCCCTCCATCCCGTAAACTTCCCACTTTCCTTTTTGGGCAGTCCCAAAATTAACTTCACAATTCAATACTTTCCTTATTTGGCAAATTATCTACATCAAAACAGTGTCAAACAATGTCCAAAGAGTGTCAAACAGTGCACTCCACAGTAAAGTCAAATGTATTTTCTTAATCTATATGAAGTCAAAGTGTGAACTTAATTGCAGGACGGCGGGAGTACTTAGTAGTTTACTTTATACTTCGTACCACATAAAAGCTATGTTGCACGGAAACGCGAAAATCATGAGGAAACGGGAAACGGGGGAAAAAGTGTCAAATAAGCCCCGTACTATACTGAAAATGTCAATTGAGCCCCCGAACTCAAAAAGCACTCAATTAAACCTATGAACACATGCAAAAGAGTCAAATTGGCTTTTTCCAGGTAACTTTGATGACATGGCTTTTAATTTTTTCACTTTTGTTTTTTCCTTTTTTTCTTTATTCCCCTCTTCTTCCCCGTAGTTTTCTTCTACTCAGTATGAGAAATCCACTCTCCCTTTCTTTCGTTTCTTTCCTAACTTTTTTAGCCTGCACTTCTCTCCTTTCTTTCCTTCATTTTTTCTTTTATCCTTTCTTTCCTTCCTTTTTTCTTTCATCCTTTAGCCTGCGCTTCTCTCCTTTCTTTTCGGTCGTCTTCTCCGGCCAACTGCTGGCAAAGACAGATTTTTTGTTTGAGCTCCGATCATCTCTCCAGTCATTGCATCAACGCCGCCGACTGAATGCCGCTGCCCCTTGGTACATCCTCCTGGGAACTTTGTCAACCTTTCTTCCCAACTTTCAATCTCATGAAAAGTTGGTCTTCTTCATTGAATCCAGTGAATTTGTTCTTTTAATTTATTTCTCTTATTTTTGTTGTATACTGGGTTGGATACTTGGACTGGCATGTCAAAATCTAAAAACGAAATTGAAGTAGAGAAACAGGGGAACTTGGGGTTTGTCAGCTAAAGAGGGAGAGGAACAGAGAAGAAAGAAAAAGAAAGAAAAAATTAAAAGAAAAAAGAGGAAAAGTCATGTGTCGCCACATGTCGTCATTTACTTGATGACTGGTTGGTTACCTGGTAAAAGGTTGAATTGAACATTTTTTCTTAGTTCGGGTGTTTAATTGAGTATTTTTTGAGTTCAGGGGCTTAATTGACTTTTTTAGTATAGTACGGGGGCTTATTTGACACTTTTCTCGGGAAATAGGAAACGTCAACTTTTGCTCAAAAACGCTTATTTGGAGAGTTTCCAAAGAGTTTACGAAAGTTTCCGAAACGGGAAACGTACTCTTTCCCAAGAATTTCCGTGCAACATAGCATAAAAGCGTCGAAAATTCAAAACACAATTATCAAAAAATTATTTGAAGTTCTAATCGCTCCAAACATCAAAGCTCAAACTTAAGTATTGTGAACACTTGAGAAATGTTCAATTTTCAAAAACACAAGTATCAAAAAATTACTCCGTATTTTAAGTTCTAATCACTTCAAACATCAAACCACTTGATAGAATAAAAGAAATTTTCAATTTTCATTTAATAAATAAAACTTAGATATCGTCATTATGTGGTAGAAATGATGGTTATTCGTCATCATATTAACAAAATTAGGGCATCCACTGGGGTCTTTCAAAACCTAAAAATACATTATTGAGTTCGCATGTATACACATAAAAGCATCACTACATTTTACTCGCTATTAGCATAATTTATAATACATCTAATAATTTCCAATATCATGAAGATAAGTTATGTTTGGCACAACTAGCTGAAAAAGATACTTTTATGAGCTTTTTACTAATTGTTAGCTTTTAGTGAATGAAAATATCTTTAAAGGAAAATAATTGTAGTTGTTCGATAAAAATTGACTGTTTGATTTAGTTCTGTGTGGATGAACACCCATCCAATCCATCACCCGACCCATCACCCGCTTCATCCATCCACTCGCTAACCCGCATATAAAAATAAATATAAATTATACTCCCTCTGTCCCAAAAACAAGTTCTCACTTTCCTTATTTGGATGTACCAAAATAAACTTCTCATTTCCTTATTTAGCAAATTATCTCCATCAAAAAAGTGCAAAACAGTGTCAAACAGTGCAAAACAGTGTTGAAACAGTGCCAAACAGTATCAAAATAGTAAAATATACCCCTCAGTAACTTTATTTACTTAAAATGTGTGAAAGTCAACCCGTGAACTTGTTTCCGGGACGGAGGTAGTATTATATTATATATCTATTTAATAATATATATAATAATTAATATTAATATATTGCGGAGTAAAAAATATGTATTTGTTAATGAATAAGACACAATCTATGAATTGGTGAAATAAAGACAGTTGAAGAGTTTCAAGAAGTGACAGTTGAACTCCAAAAATAATTTTGTGTCGATCTAGAAATGTAGAGTTTGACAGTTTGAAAAAAAAATGTCTATTTTGTTTGACAATCACTTCATTCTTTATTGTCAGTGAATTAATTATTTTAATATTCTTAATTGTTCAAGTTTTTGCTGTTATCATTCAATAATTATAAATTTTTGGTTTTTAATTGTCATAATTTCTATTTATAATTTATTTATTTTTTCTTTCAAGTTAGACCATTTATATTCACCCGTTACTGATTTTTAATGGATGATGGGCGGGTGGGTGAAATATGAAAAATTAACGGGTGGACGCGGATGAGCCTTCACCCGGTATAAATCTGACCCGCTACCACCCCTACCCCGAACAGTCACTGCCGTTGTCCCGTTGTCCGCCCCTTCCGTTGAACCACCTCAAACCAACCACCCCGGCCGGCAAGGCGGTTACCACACCCCAACCCGAGCCCCACTGAACGACCTCCGCCATGACCATTCCGACCGGCAACCGAGTGTGCCGGAGTTCGATTCAAGTGTGCCTTTTTCTTTCTTTCTCTTTCCCTCTTTTCCTTCCTTGCCCAAAATCGTTTCTGCTCCGTATTGGTACACAGGTGACCATCCAAGGAAGAATTGAAGCACGGGTTCGTCAAGATTCAGCCGGATTGTCGGAGTTCGATTCAAGGCTCGACGGTGAACGAATCCGCCGCTTTGTCTTCCTCTGTTTCTAAATCAGTGACAAATAGAGGCCCTAAATGTTGACCTTCGGAGGAGACAATAGCGAGATGAATTCAAAGAACGAAGGTCGACTATAGAGAATAACAGTTGAATGCAGAGAACGGCGGCACTGTAAAGGTTAATAGAAGACCTTCATGTAAGCCGGCGGCTTTTACGAAGACCTCTGCTACTATGTCCGAAGGTTATGGATTCTGTCACAAGGTCGCCGACGGAGAAACTGGTGACTCTCATCGGAAATCTATAGCCGCAGAGCGCAAGGAAGAAACGGAAACGGGGAAAGAGAAGGAAAGAAAGATAGAGAGAGAGAGAGAGGGAGAGGGGGAGGGAGGGAGGAGAGAGAGGGGGGGAATGTGGCGTCGACACCACGTCAGGCCACGTGTGCGCCGCATTAGGAGGTGATCTGCTAACCGACGGGTTACCTGCTTAAAAATCAGTTTTGACGAAATTTACGAAATAGGACATAATTGAAGAAACTTAAAATACGAGGGATTAATTGACTTTCCATACACAGTAGGAGGACCAATTTTACACTTCTCTCTAAAGATAAAAATTAAGTATAAGGTAAAAGAACATAAGAACATAAGAAAGATAAATAAGATAAAAAGATAAAAGAAAAAGAGAGAAAAACGATCAATCTAGGGATGTCAAAAAAAAAAACGACCCGCAATGACCCACCCTGGCCCGAAACATTTGGGGCGGGTCCGCCCCGCCCTGTCTTGCAAATGGGGCGGGTCCGCCCCGCCCCGCCTATACAATGGGGCGGGTCCGGGTATTAGAATTGACTCGTGCCGCCCCGACCCGACCCGACCCGCTCAATATATAAGTATACATACTTTTTCTTAACTTATATTACAAATATACTTCAACATACATATGTGTGTATACAATAAATCATAAATTCTTTGATCTTATAATATATGAATATATATTAGAATGAGATGGACGGCAGATTATCAATGTCTTCTTTATATATAGAATTTTAATACATTTATTCAATTATTAATATAACTAATTAGATTAACTATTCAAGTTTGAGTAATTTTTCCTTAATTTTTGAAGTTTTTAGCATATCATGAATTTGATTTAATATATTGATTTTTAATTATTATTTAGAGATAAGCATTATGTAGATTCAATTGGTAACAACTTCCCACAAATAAAAATACAAACTAGCTAATTAAGTTGCGGCGAGGCGGACCCACCCCGCCCCGCATGGGACGGGTCATGGGTCAACAAGTTTGGACCCGTGCAGGTCACGGGGCGGGGCGGACCCGCCCCGCCAAGTCACGGGGCGGGTCCGGGTCTTGCAATACCCGCCCCGCCCCGACCCATTGCCATGCCTAGATCAATCCTACACATAAATATGCATCCTCCACTTTGCTTTCTCAAAAATCATACTCTCATTTAGGGGCGGGTAAGAATCCCAGTCCCGAACCGGTGTTGTCCCGTTCTATTTGGCACCCGTTCATTTTGTCCCGTACAGGTTTGGAACGGGACATGACTAGTTTGTAGCGCAACCTCAAAATAAATGATGTGTAGAGTATGTTTAGTTTTTCAAGCCCAAATTTTATAACTTAAAATAACCCCTAACATAAATATTTACTAGGGGTTAGGTCATCAATATTAGTAATTAAATGACTTTGGACAAATATAGTTCCTCTTTAGATTTCAGCCAAAAAAGAGACCTCCGTGTCCTTTTAAAAAATTTAGAGTGAAAATCTCATATATGCCCCTGCTTTCTTACGCAGCCCTGCTTTCTTCTTACGCAGCCCTACTTTCTTCTTACGCAGCCCTTTTTTTTACGCAGCCCTGCTTTCTAATCAAAATACGTAGCCCTACTTTTTAATCATAGGATGATTTCCAAATTCCAATCTTCTCAAAGGATGACTTTTATTAGTTCATGCTCTATTATTCGGTTGATTTACAATTACTAATTACAGTTACTCGTTGTCAATTACAGACTTATAGTTACTCGTCCGATCAGTTACAATTATTCGCTCCACCTGTTACAATTACTCGACCGATGAGTTATTGTTACTCGCCCGATCATTTACAGTTACCCCATCCGATCAGTTACAATTACCCATTCGATCAGTTACAAATACTTGCCCGACCAATTACAGCTACTCGACCTGTCAGTTACAGTTACCAGACCCGCCATTTACAGTTATCTGACCTCCCAGTTACAGTTATCTGACCTGCCAATTAGAGTTACACGATCCGTCCAGTTACAGATACTCAACTCGTCTATTTACCGTTACCCGACTCTTCAGTTACAATTACCTAATTTGACCTGTTATAGTTATCAACGTCCGCCCATCTAGTGACCAGTGTCTGCTCGTTCAGTAACCAACTTCCGCCCATCCGTGACCAAGCCCGCCCATCCGGTTACAATTATCCAACCCAGCTACTTAACTACCCCAGCCACCGTCGGAGACCACCACCGGTGACCACCGCCTCCGGCAACTGCCGCCGCCGAGCACATCCCATCCCCTGTCTCACCCAGCCCCTCCCCTACCTCTCACCCAGCCCCTCCCCTACCTCAGCCAACCCTCTGCCACCACCACGCACCATCCCCCAGCCCACGCAAAGACCCTCTTTTACCCCCATCACAGCCCCCAAACCTAGCACCCAACCACCTCCCCATCCCGCAAGCCCCCTCCCCAGCCCCAGATCACCTCCTCCCTAGCCCAGTCGCATCTCTCCAGCCCCTGTCACCCAACATCCGCACCACCGCTACCCTACCACTACCAGCCGCTGCCGCAGATCTAGAATCGTCATCACCTAGGCGTCGCCGGACAGAAAGAGAAGAAAAAGAAATTGGGCAGCGCGGAGACGAGGTCCAGGGTGGCAGCGAAGATTGGGTTCTGCTTTGTTACTGGCGTGAGGCGACGATTTGATGCCTCTGTGGTGTCTGCTCGACGAATCGCAGATGCAAGGGGAACGAGAGAAGACGGAAGGATAGTTTAGGCTCCAGGGTATTGAAGTCAATTTAAATCACTTTCGGTCACTTTATTGGCCAAACTGAAATTAGTCTTATATTTGTCTTTCAATAAGTTGGGAGTCTCACTTTTGGCATTCTTTCTATTTACTAACATAGGTTTTTTTATCTCACTATATATTTGCATATGAGTATCTCACAACTAGAACACATAATTTTGAATAAATTAAATCATTTTTGCTTTGTTTTATATTTTACTTTCAATTTTTGTTAGGCCTAATTAAAATCTAATAGCTTGTAGGTTTTTGTAAATAGCTTGCGATGAACATCAATTGATTTTTTTTAACCAAACATCAATTGATTTTTAAAATGCTAATATTTTGGTGCATGATACTTTAGAAATGCTAATATATTATAATTACAAATAATGATTTTTTGTAAAATACTCTTTTATCAGTTTAGAACATCCCGAACCGTTCTAATTCATCCGGTCCCAATTTAAATGGGACAAGACTAGGACAAAGGCTTGTCATGTACCGTCTCGTACAATTATTACTAATTGGGTTGGGACCGGGATAATCCGAATCCCGAATCGTCCCGACCGGTGCCCACCCCCTACTCTCATCCAACTCAGAAAACAAACCATTCACGTAAAACAAAATAAAAAGGTTTCACTTAGAATTATAAGCTATTTGCCGAAATTGAGGAGGCTCTGGCTGGGTGCCCTTCTACCCCTAGCCCGGCCAGTAAAATTAGCTCAGGCGGACTGGAGCAGCCAACTAGCTAACAGCCTAACCACTGCAAATTCAAATAAATAAATAAATAAATAAAGGCTAAAGGGTCAATTCGCTCAGGCGGACTGTACCTGTTCGGAATGCTCAATTCGCACCCTGAACTAAAAAAAGCTCCAATTCACCCCCTGAACTCACCACAAAAGTTCAATTCCCATTTTTTTCAGATAAAGTTCCGGTCATCGCCACGTCAGCCACTTAGATGCCAACCGTGCATCCCACGTGGAAATCTAAGGGGTCAAATAGACCCCTGAACCCAATAAAGTTGTTCAATTTACCCCCTCAACCGTTAAAAAGTGTCCAGATTACTATTAAAAAAATATGAAACTAAAAAATATATAATAAAAATATAAATGATATACAAGTTCATAATATAAAATATAAATGTCTATTTAAAATATAATAAGATTTTTTTTACTCCGTATATTTTAGGGTAAATTAAACATATATATATATATATATATATATATATATATAAACATAATGAAGGTAACTTATTTTTAAATACATAATATCAAAATGTAGTACTCCGTAGCTATTTACATATTATAATTTTTATATAGTATAAATTTTTTATGTTGTGTATAATTAGTATGAAGTACAATACATAGTATATAATTCTAGAATAAAATGATACGAAGTATATATGCATGTGTGTGTGTGTAATTTTACATATAAATCTAAAACATATTAAAAATATGACAAAACATAACAAAACAAATTCATTAAAAAAAATGATATTTTAAATCCATTTCAAAAAATCAACCATACATGTTTTTACAAATTAACATTAAATTTTGTATTTTGCGTATTATTTCCCTTATATTTTTTTATGTATTTAATTTACCCTAAAATTTAAATAATTTATTGTCATATTATAAATAGACTTCTATATTTTATATTATGAACTTGTATGTTATTTTTATTTTTATTTTCTATTTTTTTATTTTTTATTTTTAATGTCAATTTGAACACTTTTTAACAATTGAGAGGGTAAATTGAACAAATTTATCGGGTCCAGGGTTTAATTTGACCCTTAGATTTCCACGTGGGATGCACAGTTGGCATCTAACCGGATGACGTGGCGATGACCGGAATTTTACCTGCAAAAAACGGGATTTGAACTTTTTGGCGAGTTCAGGGGATGAATTGAAGCTTTTTTGAGTGTATGGTGCGAATTGAGCATTCTGACCAGGTACAGGGGCCTATTTGACCCTTTAGCCATAAATAAAACACTTGCCAAAGGTTTGAGCTGAACGTCCTTTCCCCAAGTAAAAAAGAATAACCCCATCAAAGGTTATTTCTATTATTGTAAGTTTCCTGCTGCCTAGGAACTATACCTGCTTAGATCCCGTAAGTCATTAATTTTACTTGGAGCTTGACTCACCCCGATTAAACCCTAACCATGCATGCATTACACCCCAACGACCACCTAACTCTTTTCACAACACTGATTTCTTATTATTTTCATTTATCATCCTTCAAAATTTCACTTCTTTTTTTCTGTTTCAGTTTTCTATTAGACCTTTTCCATCATTTGCAATGCAGCCAAAGACTCACTATTTTTTGGCTTGGGAATATGATGGAATAAAACAAAATGGCTCACTAAACTGTTTGCGCTTCTTTATTATGAAACAACCGTCAGTCCATGCAATTTTTTACGCGATTTTCACTATAGGTCATCCAAAAACAGTCTCTCTGTGCTTTAGTACAGGGTCAAGAGTGTAAGACTGCGTACATCCGACCCCCCTTAGTCCACCATAGGTGGGAGCCTTTGCGGCACTGGGGTGATGATGATGATGAGTTTTCTATTAGACCTTGACTAACCCTTCATCAGACCCACTGAGAGCCCAACTCTATTCACAATATGTTGTTTTTCGCATTTACCTCGAAAATATTATGATATGGCGATGAGTTCTATTAGTTCTCATGCTCGATGTCTCGTTACAACAAGATTGATATATATTACGATATCATTGGCAGGATGTGGGCACCATGATGTTTACCTCAAATAGTTTAAGGTAGTGAGAAGAGGAACTCACCTGGGAACATAAGGAAGTGCTAAGCAATGGAGATGAAGGTGGTTAACACTGTTCAGAGGAGGCTGATGAAATCCAAATCTGACAAAAAAATCACAGGTCCAGAGCAGACCAAGTTCTAAATCAGACAGCAGACCCAGCTGGGAAAAGAGACCGCACCACTATGTTTGTGACCAAGATCATACCACGGTGTTAACCTCATTTAACTGCCATCAACTTGAGGTCTGAACTAAACAATAAACCCAAGTGAATGTCTATTTTAATAGGCATCGTATATGTGCACAGAGAATTTCGTGCAGGTATTAAATAGGAACTTTTTTATAATTATAAAGTAAAGACACGCAAATTTCAGTGCAGACAATTGCTCATGGCGGTTTGATCTTGAATCTAACAATTGAGATTAAATCCCTATTGAATGGTACCTTCCTGGCTTCTTGTGGTACTGTGGGCCGTCAAATCTTGGATGAATGTTAACTGGTAGTTCATCCTGACGGCCCTGATAAAAAAATGGGTCAGCCATACCTGAGCATTCCTCTATGTGTGTCAGTGTATGATTATGCATACAATTTCTTGATTATGTGAAGCAAAGCACTTAAGAGTCTAGACTATAATTATGACAGTGTGTAAATCGTATGACACAAAATCTTTTTTTCTTCTAAAAAACACATAGCATGATTACCAATTGTTCAATAGCAAAAAAATTACATGTATCTAATCACTTTAATAACACCATAATCCAAAGTAGTACAATAGTCACATGGATCGCAGTACGCTTCGGTATGCGGTACGAAAACAGGAACGCGGATCGCTAATATTAGAAACCGATACACGGGGGATAGGCTTCTTTGGTGCGTTGTACCATTTATTATGGTACAGTGTACCATATAAATATACATTTTACCAAGTATAAATATAATAAATATTGTATTAAACAATTAACTTCAATATAACATTAAACAGGAGTCTGGAATTTTGAGTTTGGAAGAATAAAAGTTGCGGACTGTAGGTACTGGCCCCATTCAGACTTGGGCAAAACAAAAGTGGTTTGGAAGAGTCGAAGCAGTGCGTCGTTTGGGAACTTCAAGTCGCCGACTGTTGTTTGGCTTGGTGGAAGAAGTCGTTTGGAAGCCTGCGTTGTTTGGACAGTCCGTTCGCATTTCGCTGGAGGGATTCTGCGAACCACAAACAAAAATTGCGCGACCTGCGAACTCTGACCGTTGTTCCCATATCGCGAACCAGCAACCACCGGCACGCAATCTTACCACGATCCAGATCGTCCATTCCGGAATGAAGTTCGTGGGGGTGCAGTGATTTAGGTAACACATCTAAACTAACGGTCTAACACTCTTTGTGTTTCGCACGTTCTGGACGTCGGGTTGAATTTTCAGACCATAACCCTACCGCTTCAAAACAGCATGAGACCAAATGCACCTTTTTTTAAACGGTCTACGGTTTTTGTTTCTCTGCTTTAGCAGGTCAGGTTTTTAACCGCATCAGGACCACACCATTGCAAGAACAAGTCTGTTTACCCATCCTGATAGCATCACTACCTTAGGTCCTTATCACCATGTATAAGATTGATGTGTGTGAGCTACCTTATTCTTGAAAGAGTTTTTAAGTTTACATATATAACGTTGTCAAGATGTTACAACTTACAAAAGAGTTGTTTAGTAAGGACCGAAGGAGTAGTAATTTAGGCAAGATGTTTTTCCTATGAATACACTCTTGTCTATTTGAGTATACTAACATTTCATGATTCGATTTTCGTGACCCAAGGTTTGGTGTGCTGGAGGAAAAGCAACTGCTTAAGTGTGGAGGATTGATAAGTTTGTATTGCAACAACCGCTTAAGTGTGGGAGGATTGTTAAGTCTGTATTTCAACAAGCATTTTATGTGTGTTGGAATCTGTTTATACGCTCTTGAGTAATTAAACGGTGTCATGTTATGCTAATTCAGTGATAATCACAGTTTACCGGGGTTCCAGTTTTTTGGTAATCACAATCGGGGGATCATGCGCCTGCACGCACAAATAAATTTCTGGGCATTCAGCCATGCACGCCATGCGCGCGTCCGTGCACGACCTTTGATGATTTCTCTTGCACGCCGTGCATGGGGGCATGTGTGCACATGCTTTGCCTAAAACTGGCCTAACTCATTATTATTCAAAGAGGGCTACGACCCTCAATTGCATATTATTAACTTCAACCGTGTTTTTCATAGAGTATAGCTTGGAAGAACATATTTTGGAGGATCGTCAACTATTCATTCTTTCGATTAATGACAAGTAAATTTTACTCTTTCAATTCTATTGTTGTTTCTATTGTAAATGAATTTCTTTAGGTATTTAAGATTGGTGAAGGGGCTTATGACCTAGAGTTTCGTTCTTGAGAGTTTGAAAACATGATATTTATATAATCTGCGTTGTTAATTATTCATTGTTATGGTCTAAAACCAGGAACCGCTAGGACTATATTCACATGTAAAATAATCAAAGAGAGATTTAAGCTGTTATGGTCTAAAACCAGGAACCGCTAGGACTATATTCACATGTAAAGTTGTGTCTCTCAGAGATCGGTTTTGTTCTTTAAGTTATTGCACTCTGCTCCAAGGGAGAGGTAAGCAACTAGTATTGATAGTATTGATCGACTATCCCAAATCTATACGCCCTAGAACCAATCTCTTCTCCCCTTTTTCATTTGATCGTTTAATTTCACATAATTTTCGCTTTTTTATAAATTAATCGATCTAGCAACAACAACAACATTCAAGCCTTATTCCCAAAAGATTTTGGGATCGGCTAACATGAATCGATCTATGATCTTAGAGCTAAAAGAGAAGAAAGATAAGAAGAATAAAAAGTTAAAGTAAGATAAACTAGATAAGATAAAGATAAAGATAAGATAAAATAACATAAGAAAGATAGGTGATAAAAATATTAAAGGACAAAGAAAGATAAAAGATAAAAATACATAAGAAAATAGAAAGATAAAGAAAATAAACGATAAAAGAAAACGAGAGAGAAAAGAGAGAAAGAAGCTCAATCATCCACATGAATATGCATCGTACACTTTGATCTCTCCAAAAGCCACACTCTCACTCAACCCAAGAAGAAAATGAATCGATCTGACAAAGAAGAATTTTTAATATCTTTCATTCAGAAGAGCTAAAATATAATTTAACATTTAATTTTCTTTTTCTTTATATGTGCATACATGACACGTACAGAACTACAGACGTACTAACCTTCACTATATACATTTATTTTAAGTGCGAGAAAACTTCCATCAAATTCCATGTCTTCAAGAATTTGTACCTTTCCAAAATTAAAAAGTTTTACATTAACCAAACAAAACTTTTTATTTGGAACATATCGAGCAAAACATAGTACCTGTATTGCTTGCTCTGAGGTGCATCTCTGCATAACAAACTCTTTCCAACATCTAGCATGTGGTTCACTGCAAGAAGATTGAACATAAGAAGTACTCCGTATTAGAATGTCACGGAAATTCTTAACTATAAAGAATTTTGTCAAAGAAGCTGAAGTTACCCAAGGAGTAGTCATTATGGCTTTTCTTGAGATCTTTAACGGTAGGAATATGCTCCTTTGGAATTACCAAGTAATGCCTGTCTCATTGATAGAAAGCAAGCTCATTTTGAACATCGTAAACACACACGTGGAAACATTAATCTTAACAAAACCTGATTATAATACAACAGGACTGACGACAGCAGACTCGAAATTGAGGTAATATGAATCGCTAATTAAAATTGGAGCATTTTGAAAACGAAATTCGCTAATTAATTTACTTGTCAACATACAGAATCGAATGACAAAAACAACGAGAACCTGAGAGCTGAAGGGTTGATATCCTGAAAAGCTACTACATTTTCATCCTGCGAAAGTCTTTATAAATCTGCTGAAACTGAGGTATGCAGATGGAAAAGTGCAATGACAATATGAAAAGAAAAGGGGAGCAGTTACTGACGGAGTGGAGGAGAGTGGTACAGGTGGAAGTGGTGGCGATTTGACAAAATATGCATCCGGAAACTGCACCAGCGGCCATTTTAGATGCGCTCTTCCGAGACGTATATATGGGAAAAGGGGTAAAATTGCCCCTAAAGTTGTCACCAAAGGGATGTATGCTTTTTTGGCTAAAAGGTCAAATAAACTCATGAACTCACTTAAATTGTTCAATCAGTTCCCGGTGGAAATATTTTATGGAATCTTTTGAGCATCTTCTTCATTAAGTCTAGTTTATTCATACCAAATTTCAGCTAAAAATTCAACCGGAAAGGCAGTCAAATGATTTTTTGAAGATAACTGCGAAGTTAAACAGCGCAGTACATTTCGGAAAATCATTTGACTGCCTTCCCGGTTTAGTTTTTAGCTGAAATTTGGTATGAGTAAATTAGACTTAATGAAGAAGATGCTCAAAACATTTCATCAAAAAATTCCACTGGGAATCGCCCCAATTAGCGACGGCCGGGTAGAACCTCCTATATAAGGGGTTAATTGAACACTTTAAGTCAGTTCAAGGGCCTATTTGACCCTTTAGCCTACTTTTTTGTGTAAAAATCTTGGTTAATTATCAAAATAGGATTAAAAGTTTTAGGTGTCGTCTGGTAATACCTTTTTTTTTACTTACCAGGCTTATCAACCTATTTTTTCACCAAACACGTAATTTTTGTTTTAACGCGCTGAATTGTGTAATAAGCAGAAAAAGTAAGGTTGGAATTACGTTTCTGCTGTATTGGCTGAAGTTATTGTAAATGACCATTTTAGCTATTTTTACATATAATTTTTTCTTTATTGTATTAATAAATTATATTTTAAAAATAATTTTTTTTAATTCAACAAAATCAGCCAATGCAGCCACTTCAGCCAGAACTTCAGAAATTTCAGCAGAATCAGCCAAACCAACCGATTTTCGTGCTACCAAACGGACTCTTAGTTTGTACAAATAGGAACAAAAAGTAAACTATTTTTTGATAGAACTAATTATGTGTGTTGCTATTGAAATGTTTTAATTCAAAATAAAATCATAAAAAATAATAAAAAATCGTAAAAATACTAAAAAAAATTAATAAGAATATTAAACAATACTCCCTATGTCCCTAAATAAACTTCCAACTTTCATTTTTTTTAACCCGGAAGGCAAACCACCAAAATCAGTGGGGCAAATGTCGGGGAACATTTGCTAGAGTTTTATTAATTAAGAAGGAGATTACAAAAAGGAGGGGGACCAAACCAAAACCTCCCTTCAGAGGCATACCTCCGAAAAAATACATGACATCAAAAACACACAAGCGGAAAAAGCAATTGAATTTTGGGGGGGCTAGACCTGACCCAAAATTAAAATACAACAAATTAAAAACGTAAGCTAGGAATACCAAAGAGATTAGCATAGTAAGCATTCTTAACAGAAGCTGGGAGCAGATCAACCCGATTAAAACGCAGATTTTGGGCCCAGTTATATCGATGGGTCGCCAAGTAATGTGCTGGCCCATTTCCTTCCCAGAAAAAATGATCGAATGAATAGCCCAAACCCATCGCTTTCCTTCTAAACGCTTGAATATCAGCTGAGTTTTCTGAATCGTTAAACAAGGTAGAGATCGACCGGATAGCATCCGTTTCCACCTGAACTTCAACAAAACCATCCGCCATAACCATTTCTGAAGCTTTAATCAAGATTTTCAGTTCCGCCTCCTCACAACCATCGGCCTGGACCTGGAAAACCATCGCATAGATCAAAACCCCAAATCGATTCCGCAAAATGGCTCCTCCTTGTGCTAAGCCAGGTATATATGAAGCATCTACATTTAACTTGTAAAGTTTATTAGGCCTTCTCCACTTAATCACTTGTAAACCAGAAGACTTAAACCTAAAGTTCCTTGAAATCAGATGTTCCTGCCAAAGGAAGTCCTCCATAGGTTTAGGTTTCGTTCTAGCCAATTTACCAGCCCAACTCTGAGTATAGCATTTGATTTGGGATATTAGAAATTCTGGAGATGAAATAGAGCTCGAACTAGGGCTGGGTCTGAAAAACCGAAAATCGAAAACCGAATCAAATTAAATCGAACCGCAACCAAATAAAACCGAACCGCTAAGAAACCGAAATCGAATGTAAAAAACCGAACCGAACCGAAGTTGTTTGGTTCGGTTTTGGTTTTTACCCTTCAAAACCGAACCGAACCGAACAAACCAAACTATTTAAAATATGAAATTTATAATTTAATTGTGAAGCATTAATTCTAATTAATCTTAATACCATCAATAGTCTTTGGGTTTCTTGTGTTAGAGAAATAATGTTTGTGTTATGTTTAATTTAATTTAGTTTATAAATTCATTTACACATTCATTGTCTGTAATAATGTAGCTATATTGAATGATGATTATATGTATTTACTAGTTATTAGTAGTAATTAACTCTTTTTAGATAACTTAAAGATTTTATATTGATAAAACAATAAATATTCATCTCAACTATATCACATAGAAGTATACAATGTATATATTCATGAACTTTTTTCGAACTACTCACAAACAAATTAAATCTATAATATATACAGTTTTATCTATCTCGCATACTCATATAATTCAAGACATATTTATCTCTTCTCATCTTTATTTTATTATATGTGTCGTTGTATTGTGCTTGCATTCTTTATGTAATATGTTTGATCCCTCTAAGTATTATATCAATTTTGAATCAATTGATAATTTTTTGGTAAAAAACCGAAAAAACCGAAACCGAACCGAAACAAACCGAACCAATCAAACCGTGGTTCCAAGTTTTGGAGTGTAAAACCGAACCGAAACCGAACCGAACTTTTTACTTTGATTCTATATTTGGTTTTAGGTCAAAACCGAACCGCAAGAACCGAACCCACCCCTAGCTCGAACCCCAAATATAGGAAGAATATTCTTTGCAAACATGCCAGCATATGATGCCTGGCATATTATGCTTAAATAAATCAGAAAGTTTTTTAGACCCAGCTTCAATCCACCAAGAAATAAGTATCTGTCGAAAGGAAGAGGTTCTAGGAGCCTTAATTCCAAATATTCCCATGAAGTAGACCCAAATTTTTCTTGTATAGGAGCAACCCCAGAAAACATGGTCAACATACTCACTATGATTTTTGCAGAAAGGGCATCTTGTTGGCTGTTGAACTAACTGAAATCTGTTCATATTATCAGGGAAGGGCAGATAGGCATGAAGCAATTTCCACATGAATAATTTGACAGACATATGCTCATACTTATTCCATATGTGAGTGTCTGAAAAAGTTACTGACCTGTGATCTCTAATTTCATTGTATGCAGATGATAAAGAGAAGGTTCCATTGATACCTGGATCCCAGACAAAATTCCCAGCCTCATCAGTAGAACAAAGGTCAGTAGCAATATCACTAATATCACAAATTCTTCTCCAAACTGTAGAGTTAGTGATCTTAGCCCTCATATCTCCATTCCTAGGATATCTAGCATTAATAAAATCACACCAAAAAGAGCTTCCGCTTTTCCTTTTCCACCATATTTTTAGGCTGAAAGCCTTTCATTTTTCATTAGTCCCAATTAAAACTTCCATTTTCCCTTTTTGGTAAAGAATTTGTGGTTCACAACATTTCTTACACATTTCTCTCTCCTCTGCACAACTCTCCATCACACAATACCCACTATCTTAAACTGTGTGTTCGGCCGTTTTGGAAGTTTTATTAGGGACGAAGGTAGTAATAATTAAAAAAAATTGAAAAAAATAAAAAACGAAAAAAAATCACTGCCGCCTCTGCCGCCCCAGCACCACCACCTCCCGTCACCAGGGAAAAAATGTCAAGTTCATTACGAATGTCATATTTATGGCAGAAAACAGTGAAAATGTTGACATTCTCAAAGAGTAATATGCCATTTTTTGCATTTGCAGAAGGAAAAAATAGCAATTTTTAGAGAAAATGGCATCTTTTTTACACTAGTCGGACGTGGTGGTGCAAGGAGGTAGTACATCCACCTTCGATCACCAGGGGAAATGCCACTTGCATTAGAAACGCCATGTTTTTTACAAAAATAATGAAAATGTTGGCATTTTCAAACAGTAATATGCCATTTTTTGGCATTTTCAGGAAAATGGTAGTTTTTAGAAAAAATGGCATTTTTTACACCGGTCGGAGATGGCGGTGCACGGAGGCAGTACAGGCGGTGGGAAAAGCATCCATATTTTTTTAATTTGTTTTATGGAGTTTTAGTATTTTTTTTATTCAATTAAAAAAATATTTCATAAATATTTTATTAAATTTTTTTAATATTTTTCTATGATTTTTTGATTTTTTTTCGAATTTATTATGAATTGAAAATTTAATTATGACTTTTGACTATCTTTCACTCATATTTAAAGGAAGGGTAATATTGGAATGAAAAATAGGTATGTTTCGAATAGGACTAATATGGTCCTATTTTGGAATTGAAATATAGCAAGTCCAATTTTGAGTTTTTTGTCATAGTTTTAGTCCTATTTAGAGTAATTTCTAAAAAATCTTTAATAATCTTGAAAGAGGGGCAATCACCCCCTTTATTTAATGGTGAACCCACTTAGGGAGTATTTGAGATTGCTTCTACTTTAAAAAAAAATATTTTTAAAGTGATTAATAGTAGAAGTTGGTAGTGTTTGAGAAAAAATGATTATGAAAAAAGTAAAAGTTGGTAGTGTTTGATAGAATAAGTATCTTTTGTGTAATAAAAAAAATGAAAAGCAGTTTAAAGTACCTCTCAACCTGCTTCTACCCTACCTTACCCCAGCCCCGACCCCACCCTACCCATAATCCCCACCATTACCCCTAATCACAACCCAACCCCACTCAATACATCACTTGCCCCTGCCTCGGCCCCACCCCGATCTCAACCCCACCCCTTACCACCCTACCCCACCCCCTACCACCCCTACCAGATGCCCCTACCTCGGCTCCACCAAGATCTTGGCCCACCTTACCGCCATCCTACCCCACGTGGGGTGGGGTCGGAGGTGGGACCGACATGGTAGGGGGTAGGGGTAGTAAGGGGGGGGTAAAGGGTAAGGGGTAGGGTGGGGTTGGGGTGGTGCCAATGTGGTAGTGGTAGGGTGTTGGGGTAGGGTG